CCAGACACAATGAGCATCAGAGCACTGATTCATAACATGCTTACTGTTCTTAACTATTTAACTATTGAACTTACTTTGAGGTTTTATTTTTAACATTTAAAACTGAACAGTTTCTACCCAACTATGTATACAGTTCTTCCCGTAAATTTTTTTTTTTTACCTCCTTCCATGATTGCCTGTGGCCAATCTGCAAGTTTGAACAGACAAGTACCTACACTTTGTGGTACTATTCATCACATTCCTAATAAACAGCCAAATCATAGTATCACTGATGTGGGAAAGGACCTCTAGAGACTGCCTAGACCAACTTCTTCACTCAAAACAGGTTCAGCTAGATCTGACTGCTCAAGGCCATGTCCAGTAATTATCTTCCAAGATTGGTGGAAGTGAGCCTTTTCATTAGAGCCTGTGATCAGGAAGGTACAGGCAACCTTAGCCTCTTCCATGTGATATATCATCACATCCCCTGTTCTATTCAGCAGGGGCCTCACATTCTCCTTAGTCTTCCCTGTTGCTTCTAGCATACTCACAGAAACTCTTTTGGTTGTCCTTCATGCCTTTTACCAGGTTCACCCAAAGCTCTGGCTTTCTTAACCTCATCCTTGCATGTTCACACAAGTGTCTCTGTACTTCTGGGCGATATGACTTGGCTTCAACCTTACACTCTTCCTCTGCTCACATTTAAACTTTCATAGAAGCTTCTTGTTCATAGACCTTTCACCACTTCTGTCCAATACCATACATGTCAACATAGATTATTCTTGAGCTTGGAGAAGTGAAACTTTTTTTTTTTTTAAAAAAAAAGTTTTCCCAGAACTCTCTTCTTTCCAGGAAAGTCTCCCATGGGATTGTTCCAAGCAGATCCCTTAATAAGCCAGACTCTGCTCTCTAGAGATCCAGGGTTAATATTTGCCTTGCTTCCTTCTCTGAAAATTCTGAAATCCACCACCACTTCATATTTGCTGCAGTGAAGATTTCTCCTAACATAAGCTCTTCATATTTGTAAGAATCAGAACCAAAGCTCCACCCCTTGCCAGCTGTTTAATTGCTTGCGTTAGGAGCTTATCAAGACTGCACACCAGAAAACAGCTGACTTCTTGTGTCATGCTCTTTCCAGAAGATGGCAAGAGGGTTGAAGCGCCATGTGAAGACCACCAGCTTCTTCCAGCTGTCTAAGGAAAACAACATATCCCACATTTTCTCAGCCAAGCAGTTTATAACAAATACTTACCACGATGTCACTCATTGGTTCACCCTCTAATCCTAAGCCCATTAACTCTCAACTGAGGGATAGCTTCATATATTCCAGCTACCATTCTCTCACTACAAGAGCAACTCTCCCTGCTCACCTTCCTGGTCCACTCTTTTCAACAGTATATGGCTGTTTCCATATACTGTGGCACTCTAGTCACATGAGCTTATCTCTGTGATCCCAATGATGCAATTCAATTACACACAGATTTCTAATTCTTTGTGTTTAATCTCAATGCTGCATACACAAATACTTCAGAGGTACTTTGCTGGAGGACACAGGCCAAGAAGTGAGATAGCAGTAAAGTAGTAATGTTCTGCTTATCAAAATGATTGCAAATGCTTCTGAAATGCAACTGAAATGTACATTTTAGTATTGCTCTAAAATCACTGAAATAAGAGCTAAACAAAAGGTATATATTTGGTACAGTAGCCCACGGCCCTAGTCCCAGTAAACAAGAACTACTGGCATGCTATCAAAAATACTAAACTGCACAGAAACAGTAATGCAGGTCTGCTTACACCACAAATAAAGCCAGAAAAGTTAAGAAACTGTGTAATGTGCAATATGTATGTTGAGTGTCCCTGCACCACAATGTCTGCATCGGCTGTAGCATGAGCTTCAAATTATCCCACAAACATTGTAGTAAAACGGTAGCCAGGAAGAAAACTCCATCCCAAATTCTACCTTTCCTGAACTACCTTGAGTAAGAAGTACATGAGCACAGCGATATGACTGGTATCACTGCCTGTTTCAGGGAAACCAAATGGTATATGGAGGAACCTATTTATGAAAAGTCAAACATATTTATGTATGAGAAGCTGTAGTCAGCAAGCATTTATGCTTTAGCTTCACATTATTAATGCTGGCAAAGAACAGCACTCAGCCTCTGCTCTTCTCCAGTGTATTTCTGTTTCAATATACATATCAATATTAATTTCTCCTGCTGAGTTACCGTCATATCTAATGAGCAAACACACGATATGTGACATGTAAAAAATCAAGGGCATAAAAAGACATTATCTCTAATTAATTCAGATCACTAATAATAAATTTTAAAATGGTCACAATTAAAAAAATCATATCCCATAATGCTGCACAAAACTTATGCGATGCACAAAACCACATACCTTATCTCGCTCCCCGCCACAAAAGATAGTTGCCCAATTGTTAAACTTCTCATTTAGAAATCCCATCAATAACTAATCAATGGAGCTATACCAAAAGATATAGTCACAGTATCAGAAAGAATGCAAATACAACCTATCTACTTAACTATAAGCAGAACGTTTGTGACTCATGGTGGTGCTAAGTTGGTTGGCCCCACAGACACATATACAGAAACACCATCTTCTCCAAGACGTTTACATTTTATCGAGCACACTGACAGTACTCAGTAATAACAACTCCGTCTACACAAGAACCCTCTAAATCATGGGAATCCAATGTTTTCGATTCTCTGGACCACACTGAGTTCAGAGGAGTTTTCCTGGGCCACGTATGAAATACGTAATGTACTTAATGTACATGAGTCACCCCAAAAGTGATGCCTCCTGGGGCCACATATAGCTCTCCACGACTGCACATGACCTGTGGGCTGGACATGCCTGTTCTACTATAATCAACAATATTTTTAAGCTAAGAAGATGAACTGCAATTTAAATTAATTCTAGGTATTTCCTTCCTACTAATGGCTTCAATTTCAAATTAAACCTGAACTGTATTGCTGCCAGTTTTCATAAATGATCACAGCACTCATTGTTTTCTCAGGAAGCTAATAAGGCACCAGTGAGCACAGTCCCTTTCTAAACAACACATAGGCCAAGCCTCAATCCATTGGTCACACCTCTATTTGCAAATATCACATCCTAGCAAACAACTAACAAAATGGAACAATAAAGCACAGAACTTCATATCCACATGACATCTGTTATAATGTTTTATTTCAGATTAGCCTTTCATCCCATGGTCTGAACACTCATTTGAGTTTCTGTGCATTAGTGTACTTCTGGAATGTGTCCTCCAGTTCTATCTGGTACAAAAAGAACTCAATCTACATCTCTGAAATTATTTTATAATGTGAACCAAAGCACAGTAAAGGGTTGCAACCAAACACAATTCAAAGGCATGCTCCTGATTCAAAGCAAAGCACAAAGGAAGAGGCACACAATAAAGTCACAGAGAGCACTGTCATTCCCTTCAAGAAGGGAATGGGACTTGGTTCATGTCCCTGTCGTTCTGTTTTTATTGCCCTCTCATCTTTCAGTCTAGGTTTATAATACATGAAGAGAATAGTAGAATCAATAAATGCAATGAAAGAGCAGTTTATTAAACATAGGAAAACTTTGCCAATGTGATTTTTTTTTTTCATTGTTTACATTTACTCAGATCTCAGGTTTTTCTTGTTTTGACAGTCAAGCCCTAAGAATTAAAGCAATGGGATACAGTTGGTATTTCTAGATGCGTGTTCATAAATGTCTTCCACAGTTAGAATGTCAGCCCCAGCTGACTACTCATGAAAGCAGTACAGTTCTGCAAAGGCTGAACAATTTTTCCACATTCACTAAGTTGTATATCAGAGCTTTAAAGAGCACATCAATGATAGCAAGGTGACGTATATACATCAGATCTTTAATATCCTTTTGTCCAAAGTACTTTTCTTCAAACATACTTCTCCTCACTCTTGCTGATACGTAGGGGAAAGAAACATGAGGCAGTAGAGGGCAGTGCATGAACTGAACGTGGAAAGTTAATGCAGAAGTGGCTGTTTAACAACCTCATGCCCAGAAATAATAAAATATTCCTTCTGTATTATCTAAACCATACTCTTGTGTTGGAGGAGAATCTCCTTCACATGATACATACGTCTCATTCTTCTAAAAAGCATTTATCTTGTCATTTGTTATATACATAAAAATGAGTAGGCGATTTTGTATACTTACTCTGTAGCATGGACATGACATGAAATTCAGACATACATTACGAAGACAGTATGTATGACATTAAACTAAGCCATTTAATAACATTTAATATGGTCAAAAAGCAAGTGACAGAACTTTGTTCAGATTATATAGGTAAAACAAATCTTTTAGCATAGTCAACTCTCACATAATTTAAGCCACATCTTTTCTACGGGAGAGCCTAGATACCACCTCTCTCATACCCTTCATTGAAGCCATAGGAAATGCTAACACTTCTGCCAAACCACAGGATGCATCCAACCTATCTACCCTTTGAGGAAGCATACTCAGTATTTGCAGTCTTCAGCAGGTTTTGGAGGACAGGTTAAAAAGAAAAGCCTTCTTTTTTGTCCCTGTCTTTAATAGATGTATCACCAGTTTATGCTGTGAAAATCTTCCAGCCATTCACTCTCTCTCTCTCGGACACCAGAGCTGTAGCCTCAGCAATCAGTAAGATACCAATTAGAATATATGCAAGATTTTTTTGTTTTTCAAAAAAGGAGGACTTCTAAGAGCACAAAGACCATGCAGAACAAAGCTTTACAAAATTGTGAAGTTTATAGGGAAATAGAAACTACAGCAAATGTGTACCATAGGCTTCCTATTTGCTCTGGTTAATACGCAGTCTGCAACGTCACTAGTACCTTTTCCCCAACTCTTCTAGGAGATGCAGAAATCTGTGTAGCTCATCAGGTTAACTGCCTATGCAGCCTCCCCCTCTACAACTTTCCAAATACATACATTTGCTCAAGTTTCACTGACTGACAGACATTCTCAGAATCACATACCTTTATGATGTTCTCCTCAGTATGCTTTGCAGAGTCTTTACATCATCCAGAAAGAGCGATGGCTTCAAGCACAACTGAATCCTTGTGGTGAAAACCACTGCAGTTAGCACAGATGTCACTTGGCCACCTCTATTCCTAGCCAGAGGTGGTAGGCCTGAAAGATGGGGTAAAAAAAAAAAAAAAAATGCAGTGACTAAAATCACAGTCCAAACAGCAGAAGGACCAAATGCACAGCACGAACACCTCTCTGCAATCCCCAGCCACAGGAATCCTTGGCCCATTACCTCTGCAGCAACCTCATCTCATTCCCTAGGACAGAGGAAAAATGAATCTTTAATTACAGACCCCCATTCACGTTCAATAATTGAGGAGCATTTCTTCCTGCCTTTGCTGTTTGCCCACGCTGTTCCTGCCACTACTGAATGGCTATTTTTGTCTTTTTGAAGCTTCCCTCACCTGTACCACACAACTGCTGCCCACACTGTTTCTCACAGCAGCTGCTTCTAACTGGCTGCTTAGTCACAGCTGGAAGAAATAATTAGGTCCAACATTAAGCCTCTTCAGCTGCTGCTGAATATAAAGCATATATTTTCATCCTGCAAGAACTATTGGTAGATCTTAACACAAAGTGCATGGAGGGTCTGTGAAACACCTAGTCAAATTCTGCTAAGGTATTCTGCAGGTTTTTTTATTAGTGCAAAATGAGAAGAGATTTTGGGTCTCATTCCTACGGTAGTCTGGAATTAGACTGAATTTTCATTTCCAAATCCTTGTGTACATCACACTTAAAAAACCATTTCTTTAGGTGCATCTAGGCATCCTGGGTTTTCCCTGCACGAATGAGTGCATATAGAGTTCCCATGATGCACCTACAACAGATTTCTAGTAATGACTACAAAAACAAAACATGGCCAACAACAAAACCAACTGTGTAACGTGCAAGCGTGCTCAAAATTACTGGGAAAAAAATTAGAACAGATTAATTCTTACAAACAACTCAGTTCTACATTACGTATTTCAGCAAAGTTGTAGCATTTAACCACAGCATTACTATGAGAATCTCTTTTAAGAAAACGGCTTAAGCATACTAAAAGGTACTTTCTACAGCTTCACGCAGAAGTTACACTCTTTCCTTAAAAAAAAAAAAAAAAAAAAAAAATCACAAGATGAATTTGCATTCTTCCAGTGCTTGGCCAAGGAAAATTTCATTAAGGATGCAGAACTGTAAGAATGCAAATCATGCACTGCACTGATTTTGCTGAGATCTTTCTATTCATAATTATGATGAATGCCTTCTTAAAATTGTTCTGATATATGTATGTACTTCATTAAGGGTGGCTGCTTTTATAAATAGTCATTGAAATGCCATATCCAGTTTTATGTTTTCTAAAAGCCTCAGAACTCTATAATATTCATACAGCCAGGACTCATCACTAGGAATAAATGATTTTTACAGGAACAATTGAACAAACCTAATCCAAATTCCACACCTGCTTTCAGACAGCACGTTCTTCTGAAAGCCTCTTCTAGAGCTGCTGGGGCAGTTAGAATTAGGATTGTTTTTGCCAGCGCTCACAAAGAGCAGCGAAGACTATCAACGACAGTGTCATTTTCAAGTGGGCTCTGAAGGGAAAAGGTTGAATAATAACACTTTCAGTTTGTATAATAAACGAATGTACAGATGTTATAATTACGGAATATACCAGACAGCACAGCTAAGCATGTTATTACACAAAAGAGAATAGATAGAATGCTTACCCGCTTCCTGGACTCACTGTAAAACTCCAAAGGAGGGATCTCCAGAAGAGATCCTTCCCCACTGGTAGCCAGCTCTTAAATAGGTCTAGGAGAGGTGCAGCCAGGCTCCACCCCTTCCGGCAGCACAGCTGAATTGCCTTCACTGTGCTCCCATGGCTGACTCATGGCTCGCCTCAGGTGATCATCAGAGGTTCAGGCTGCGATTCAGCAGTTCCCATACACAGCTCCTTTGTCATTTCCAGCAACGTTGATTTAGAAGTGAACATTAAAACAAAACACTTGCAGCATGCACCCATATTATCAGAACTACTCTAGCAGTCTAAGGTCTCCCTGCAGAAGGTATTACGAGTGACAATTTACACAGTACTGTACAGTAATACTGACATTTTAACCCAAGTATGACTCTCAAAGGAGAGATAGATGGACTAGAAGACATCTTGAGTCATGTCTGCCTCCAATTTATGCAAGGGGCAATTCTTAATAATACCGTGGGCCAAGAATTAAGACACCACAAACCTCTGGTTTTTTTTCGTTCCAGCTCAAGAGGACTTCTCCCTGTTAACTAATCTGTTGAGGCCAATTCAAAACACACTTGACACCACACTGCAGCCGGTCTAAGGATGCATGCAGACATAAAGCCTCATATGCATTCCTGCTCAGTTATGCTAGAAATAACAGCACATGAGCTGAAAATCTTATTTTTAAATATTAAAGCAGTACATATTTGTAAATCTGCAGGATAACAGTTGTAATCAGATCTTCTGGAAAGAAAGAATGAGAATTTAACAGGCAATAATTTATTTATAAAGAAAACATCATACTGCAAACCATGGTTCTCAGAAAGAAAAAAAATACTAGTTCCTCTGAATTTCTGACATAGAGAATCATCCACAGAGATCTGGATGTTTCTAACCTATGTCATAATCATTACATAAAATAATTAAAATTACTTCTTATTCAGAAGAACTGAATAAACTAAGATCACCATTTGCACACACTATTAGGTATTCATCAGAACCTGAAACCAAAACTTTACAAATAATTAACTCAAATGACCTGAAATAGAAAATACTCAAACGTTCTTTAAAGACACTGTCAGAAATCCTTCAGACAAAACCTCTGGATTGGAGTACAGATAATTCTACTGAGAAAAACACCCAAAACATTATATGTTTATTTTGGTGCTTTTAGAAACACTTAAAAAAAAGTTGAGGATAACAAAGTGATGTTACATAAAACCAAAACAAAAAAAATATGGTTATTAAAACCTTCTTCCTATCTTGGTCTCGGAGGAACCTTTTGAACCACATTATCAGAGGTATGATGCTTTTCTGCATCCTTAGGAAGTGAAAGCATCTTGTTTGTGAGTGACATTCAGTATGGAACAACACATAAAAGACCTCTGAGATGAAAGATGTTGTGCTGCTATTTTCTTCACTCTAATGAAGTACAAGGAATTAGTAACAGTAGCCAGAAGAATCACAGTACCACAGACTAGTGCAGAGAAGCCATTCAAAGAAGAATAATCAATTATATCATGTCCCTTGAAGACTACAATTAGTACTCCAGGCTGGTTAAAACCCTACACTTTTTCAAACAATGTCCCTGTAAAACACCAGATTTCTTGTCAAGGGTTTTCCAATGATGGATAACAATCCACTAAAAAAAAAAAAAAAAAAAAAGCTATCAGAGGTGCCCACAAACGCTCAAATACACATTGAGCATACTAAGTAACGTATCTCCTGGATAACTGCACATAAAACATACTAGTTGCAATGACTGTAAATTCATAAAGAAGCTAGAAGCTGTAAATCATCATCAACAGGGCAGTTGTTACATACAGCCAATTAACTTGTAACTACTGCTTAATTGTACTTTCACTCTTTTCCTTCCAGGTAGGATATGAATTTATTCAACTCAGTATCAGAAGAACTGTATCAAGATGTTCAAAATGCATCAACAGCAAATTAAAAATTAAGCTATAGAAATAATTCATCTATTTCTGTCTGAGTGATAGTAAAAGCTTACTTGTTGAGGACAGAATAATATTAATGATTGTTGAAATAATGAAATCTCTTCTTATAAATAAGTACTTGTTTTGTTTTAAAATACTTTTCAAATCTTAGGAATTATTCCTGTTAACTTGCTAGTGTAAAATAATACACTACAGAAAAGACACATTTTTAGAGTGCATGAAGAAATGAGTATGCGATGTATTATTTTATTGTACTTGCCAAAGACAATATAAATCATCTTTATTAAAGCCCTGGATTCAGCAGATACAGCAGCTGAATTATACTTTCTTAAATAGAATCTAATATTGTACAACAAAGAGCCAATCACTGTGCTCACTGAGTAGCTTTTACGTAAAGGAAAGAAAAATAATTGGTAGCATAAATTTTACCCCCCCCCCCCCCAAAAAAAAAAAAAAAAAGATCTTTGTGGTACAGACATCCTGTGGTTAATTAGAAACTCTATGTATGATTTCTTTTTTTTTTTTTCCCCCCTCAGCTCCAACCTGGTGCTTCAAAGGCATTTGAACAGTTTTGAGACAATGATGAACTCCTACACAGGAAAAGAAAGAATAAGAGAATAATTCTCATACTGAAGAAAAATAATATGGAACAAATAGAAGAGAATAAAATCAGATTAATCAGCATCACTTCTAATTACACCAATAGCAGTCCCATTAAGTAACCTTTGAATGGGACTGCTGAAGCACTAAAACACTGCTAACACTATAGCTATTGTTGCAATAAACTCTTTTATCTCACAACGTCCAGGTGTTTTTCTGTCTGAGAACATAATTTTAGCACCATAAAAACATACTTAATGCTAGGGACCTATGACCTGTACTATGGTGATCACTTATAATTGCAATTATCTCCAAAACTATAGAAAAATGCACTTTTGGAAATCTCTTGCATTTGAATCCTTCTTCTCCTCATATATACCCTTAGCTTCTGATAATGAGCAGCTGTGGAAAGAAATTACCGGACTGGTAGGATAACAGCAATGAAAGGAATATTACCCTAGGTGATTAAAAGCAAAAACCACACACCTGGTCTGAGAGCAGAGGAGCACACTGAGATAAACAGATGTACAAACATGACCAGATTATGCAGCCCTTATTTTCTTTACTTAAAAAAAAAAAAAAAAAAAAACAAAAAAAAAACACACAAAAGCACTTCTGCCTAACAGCTGCAAAATCATATTTCCCAGAAACAGCCTTTCTCCACACATTTACAATTCAAAGCACTGTAATACAATGATTGTATAATGTAAGACCCAATATAAACAACCCAATCCTATTTGTTTTAAAGTAACAGCTTACATCCCCTGAAACAGGGAAGATTTTACAGAAGCTTTTCAATACTCAGCTGGTACACAGCCAGC